TGGGGGAACAGGCCCGTGGTCGAATCCCAGCTTGTCCAACTTGTGCCATGGCTGAGCTTAGGGTGTTCGCCTCCCTTTTGTCTCCACAGTCAGGAACCGCTGCTCACCGTCGGGGGTTCGCCTCCGTTGCAAGGGTGCGATGCATCCTAGGCCAGTCCCAGCCGGCGGGACGCAAGTTCCGGAGCGGGGGGCAATCTATCGGTGGGGGCTCACCTCCAGGAAAGCTTGAGTATGAAGAAGCACCACCGCTGGTGCCCCTAAACTAACTGCATTTTCCCCAAAGTTTTGCTTTTGTTGTCCTTTGCCACTATGCACTGCTAGCAGTCATGCATGCCGCTGCATTCCTAGGACCATGCTGCCCACTGGCAGGAGAGCAGTTGGGGGCAAGGTCTTCGCCGCCTGGTTACCGTTCGCTTAGCCTCTTGGGTTTAGGATTGCATGCGTGCGTGGCGCTGGCAAGTTTGATGGTAAGCGTGGGGACCCTCCCGTGTGGTTGAGGCTCCTTAGGGGGGTCCCTTTGGCATCTTTGGGAGGGTTTAGGGTGGTTGTCGAAGTTACCAATGTGTGAGCCACAAGTGCACCGTCACCTCTGGATATAGCTTTACCATATTTACTTGGATTTTGTGCATCAATTCAGGCGCTTTGCACTCTGGACATGCAGGAAGCAATCATCTCACCAGCCTCTGGGGGGATCTTCCTCAGCGCCCCGGCCCTCCACTAAAGGGCCACACAGTTAAGTCCTTAAGTTGGGGGGCCGGCCCTGCCACTTGTGTAGGGTTTTGGAATAAGTGCAGGAGCTGCTACGGGCTCTTGCCTCCCTATCGCTTGGCGTTGGCAGAACCAAGTGTGGGATCCTCCTCTTACTTGTTGTTTTTATAGTTTCGGGCATGCAGGTACCCAGGAATGTCCAGACCGTGAGTCCTGCCTGTGCTGCAAGCCAAGCCAACAGTGGGTGTGTTTCATGGCTGGTGCGGCGTGGTTCCCGCGCTTGTTGAGGGGAGCGTCGACACCTGCGCGTGTGGAGGGGTGCGTTTGCCCTCGCGCTTAGTTTGAGGGCTTAGCACCGGCCTTGACGTGCAGTCACTACTGTTTGTGATCTTGCAGTTGCCCAGGGTGGTTGGTTGGGTTAGGGTCGCCCTTGAGAGAGTAAACCGGCCCACTTCGCCGGGGGCCCAGGTCCCAACCACAGTGCAAAGACAGTGTGCGCTTCTCTGTCTTAGCATAGACCCTTTTCTTTTCAGTCCAGGCACCTGTTTCGGTCCGTTTACTGCCAAACAAGTCGTTTCTGTTATTTTGGGGTTTAGGATACGCGCTGAGCCCCAAATAGCAACATGATGTTGCTGGTATAGGATTTCGCCAAGACTTTCTGGTCAAATTTCCTTTTCAGCACAAAATCATTGAAGTTGGCCCGCCAGCACCAAAGATCTTCGACATCGAGTCGAGCGTGCATTGCAGGGCCAAATAGCAACATCACGTTGCTGGTATAGGAAATCGCCAAGGCTTTTCTGGTCAAATTTCCTTTCTGCACAAAATCATTGAAATTGGCCCGCCTGCACCAAAGATCTTCAACATCGAGTCGAGCGTACATTGCAGGGCCTGGACGCTGGCTTTTCCTCCCCGGCTGGAGGTAAGTCTGGCCAACAGGTGGCCTTGGTGGCCACTCTGCTGCCCGTGGCAAGCACGCGAGGGCAGTACATCCACTCCATTCCCCGTCATTGGGGTGGTTTTCCCTCCCTTTTGGAGGTACGCTGGCAGACAGGGGGCCGTTGTGGCACTCTGCTGCCTGTAGTGGAACGCCAGGGCAGTCGACCACTCCACTGCCCGTCAATGGGGTGGGTTTTGGTTGGTAGAGGTAGCCGAGTACCCAGAGCTGCTGCGGCATGGGTGCTCTGGCCCTTGTTAGTAAGAGCGAGAACGCAGGGGCCACCTCGTTGCAGCAGGGTTTTGGGGCGTCGTTCCCAGCGCCTCTAGTTGATGGGAAAGCGTCGCTCCCTGCGCCTAAAATTGGGGGGAGTGCGTGGTCCCCGCGCTTAACCACAAATTGAGGGGACAAGACCCTGTCTCGCCAGTCAACGCCCAGCCTAGAAAAGGTGAGCTGAAGGCCCTCCGCCCCAGGTTTTGGGGGGTTCTCCTCCCTACCAATGCATTGGGGCGGGGCAGCAACGCAGGAAGCCGAGCCTTGTATAGTGCATTTCCAAGTGAAAAGGAAACGCTGGGGGTTGACCATTGTGAGTCCCTCCATGTGATGGCATAGGTCCTGTAGCCTGTAGTAACCAAAGGCTTTCTTTTCTCACCTCAGTTTTCCTGTGGGAGTTTGGGCTCAGCGCCAGCCTGGAAAGCGCCCGGGTAATCAGTGCCAGTAGGCAAGCACGCCTAGTCACAACGACTGTGGGTGTGTAGGCTGTAGGTGTCAAAGCCCTTTTCCCCCAGGTCTGGCTCAAGGTAGCCACCCGGGTTTCTTAGGTACTGCCGTTTCGGCGGCCGCGCTGCGCGCTTCGAGAAGAAAATATGACATGGACTGCTTTTTCCCCAAAGTTTTGCTTTGTTTTCCTTTGCCACTTTGCACTGCTTGCAGTCATGCATGCCGCTGCATTCCTGAGATCATGCCGCCCGCTGGCAGGAGAGCAGATGGGGGCAAGGTCTTCGCCAATGGTCACTTTTGGTTGTCTCTTGGGTTTAGGATTGCATGCATGCTTGGCGCTGGCAAGTTTGGTGGCAAGCGTGGGGACCATCCTGTGTGGTTGAGGCTCCTTAGGGGGGTCCCTTGGCTTCTTTGGGAGGGTTTAGGGTGTTGTTGAGGTTACCTATGTGTGGGCCACAAGTGTGCTGCCACCTCTGGCTATACCAGTACCATAATTACTGAAATTTTGTGCATCAACTCAGGCGCTATGCACTCTGGACATGCAGGAAGCACTCATCTCTCCAGCCTCTGGGAGGATCTTCCTCAGCGCCCAGGTCCTCCACTAAAGGGCCATGCAGTTACGTCCTTGAGTTGGGGGGCCAGCCCTGCCACCTGTGCAGGGTTTTGGAACAAGTGCAGGAGTTGCTACGGGCTCTTGCCTCCCTATCGCTTGGCGTTGGCAGAACCAAGTGTGGGATCCTCCTCTTACTTGTTGTTTTTATAGTTTCGGGCATGCAGGTACCCAGGAGTGTCCAGACCGTGAGTCCTGCCTGTGCTGCAAGCCAAGCCAACAGTGGGTGTGTTTCATGGCTGGTGCGGCGTGGTTCCCGCGCTTGTTGAGGGGAGCGTCGACACCTGCGCGTGTGGAGGGGTGCGTTTGCCCTCGCGCTTAGTTTGAGGGCTTAGCACCGGCCTTGACGTGCAGTCACCTAGGTTTGGATCTTGCAGTTGCCCAGGGTGGTTGGTTGGGTTTAAGGTCACCTTTGAGAGCGTATACCGGCCCACTTCGCCGGGGGCCTTTCCCAGCCACAGTGCAAAGGCAGTGCGCGCTTCTCTGTCTTCGCGCAGACCCAGTCATTACAGTCCAGGCACCATTTTCTGTCCTTTTACTGCCAAACAAGTCGTTCCTGCTATTTTGGGGTTTAGGATGACACGCTGAGCCCCAAATAGCAACATGATGTTGCTGGTATAGGAATTCGCCAAGATTTTTGGCCAAATTTCCTTTTCTGCACAAAATCATTGAAGTTGGCCCGCCAGCATCAAAGATCTTCGGCATCGAGTCGAGCGTGCATTGCAGGGCCAAATAGCAACATTACGTTGCTGGTATAGGAAATCGCCAAGGCTTTTTTGGTCAAATTTCCTTTTCTGCACAAAATCATTGAATTTGGCCCGCCCGCACCAAAGATCTTCAACATCGAGTCGAACGTACATTGCAGGGCCTGGACGCTGGCTATTCCTCCCCGGCTGGAGGTAAGTTTGGCCAACATGTGGCCTTGATGGCCACTCTGCTGCCCGTGGCATGCACGCGAGGGCAGTACTTCCACTCCTTTCCCCGTCTTTGGGGTGGTTTTCCCTCCCCGTTTGGAGGTAATTTTGGCAGACAGGGGGCCTTTATGGCCACTCTGCTGCCTGTGTTCAAGAATGCAAGGGCAGTGCGCCACTCCACTGCCCGTCAATGGGGTGGATTTTGGTTGGTAGAGGCAGCCGAGTGCCCAGAGCTGCTGCGGCATGGGTGCTCTGGCCCCTGTTAGTAAGAGCGAGAACGCAGGGGCCACCTCGTTGCAGCAGGGTTTTGGGGCGTCGTTCCCAGCGCCTCCATAGTCGATGGGAAAGCGTCGCTCCCTGCGCCTAAAATTGGGGGGAGTGCGTGGTCCCCGCGCTTACCTACAAATTGAGGGGACAAAACCCTGCTGCGCCAGTTAACGTCCAGCCCAGAGAAGGTGAGCTGAAGGCCCCCCGCCCCCAGGCCTTGGGGGTTTTCCTCCCTGCCAAGTGCATTGGGGCGGGGCAGCAACACAGGAGGCCTAGCCCTGTATAGTGCAGTTCCAAATTGAAGAAGACGCTGGGGGTTGACCATTCAGAGTCCCTCCATTTGATGGCATAGGTCCTGTAGCCTGTAGTGACCAAGGCTTTCTTTTCTCACCTCATTTTTCCTGTGGGATTTTGGGCTCAGCACCGGCCTGGAAAGCGCCCGGGTAAGCAGTGCCGTAGGCAAGCACGCCTAGTCACAACGACTGTGGGTGTGTAGGCTGTAGGTGTCAAAACCCTTTTCCCCCAGGCCTGGCTCAAGGTAGCCGCCCGGGTTTCTTAGGATTGCCGTTTCGGCGGCCGCGCTTCGCGCTTGGAGAAGAAAATATGACATGGTGGCTCAAGTTTCGGCTCAGACCCCGGTGGGGTGTTGTGGTAGGAAAGCGACTGTGAAACAAGCCCTGAGGCCCAAACCTTGTGTGGGGGAACAGGCTCCATCTTGAATCCCAGTCTCTTTGTAGTGCCATAGCATACCGTACCCACCGGAAAGGGGCTCGCTCCTAACGGGGGTTGACCAACACACCCTCCCACCATCATCGGGGGAGAAAGGGTGGTCAACACGCCTCCCGCAATGGGTCGGGAATACACTGTTTGCAAGGGCTGCGGAAATTGGATCTACACAGATCTAATCACGCAGGACCTCAAATGCAAGAAGTGTGCAAAGACCTGGCCCACCAAGGGGAGGCGTCCTACAGTGTGGGAATCTGCCACCTGGAGGAACCCCAAAATTCGTAAGCCCAAAGCCCAGAATGGGGAGGCAATGGGGGGCACGCCCAACCCACCGTCGCCCAAGCCGCCTCGAACCCCTAAGGTCTACAAGGCCTTGGAAGGGGTATGGGAACAAATTCCCGAAGCTGCCCGTGTTGAACTCTCCAAGGCCGGTTTCAGGGCCCCGGTGGAGGACAAGTCGTCGGATGAGGTGGCCCTTCTGGACCTATTGCAGGCCCACATTGGGGATCTGCCAGCGGACGTCCAGACAGCGCTGCACAACAGGAACAAGGTTCCTGATGTTCCGCCAGAAGAAGCCGCCATAACAGCCACGAACGAGCTCAAAGGGGCATCCACCAAGCTGCGGTCCTTAGGCCACCGCAAAATTCGTCTCCAAGCCAAGATTGACGAATCGAAAGCCGCCCTCAAAGCGTTGTATGTTGAAATGCAAAACTTGATGCAAGAGCTGAAAGCGGCTGAGGAAAATATGGAAACCCTTGCCAAGACCTTCCGGGACAAGGTACTCCAGGCGCCCGTTCAAGAAGAAGATGAGGACTTTAATCTGTCCGAGGTGCTTGGAAGCATTGGCCTTTCCCTTGATGAAGCCCAACTCCAAAAGGTGCGGGATGCCCAGGCCCAGCACAAGCTCCAGCGAAGGCAGAAGGCTGCGGAGCAGCTGCTGGCCCATGCCGGTTTCCCGCCTGGATTGGGGGGGAGTCCTCCAGGTATAGGGGGTCAGGCCATTGCAGCCCAGTTGGAAGCCATTGGGGTGACCCTGACCCCAGACCAAAAGAACATGGTAATCACTGGGCAGTGGCCCGGCCCCTCACAGACCATCGACCTCAAGGCGGCAATTGAGCAAGGATGCCCCAACATGGAAATCGAAGACCTTGAGCTAAGACGAGAAGAACTTGAAGTGCAGCTTGAGCGCAAACGACGCAAGCTGGCTACCCAAAGCGCCTCCCCACCCACCTCCGTCAAAGAAGGGGGCAAGGAAAAAGGGGAGCGCAGCCGCTCGCCCAAAACCAGGAGTTAGGAACCCGGCCGGGAGGGCGCCACGTGGGGTTTAATAGTGGGCTATTGGCCTCACCAGGAGCCCGACCTGTGGCCAGGCGGTTCGGAAGCCGAACAAGGTTTTGTCACTGTGTATAAAAAGAAGTGGAAGGCTAAGGGCCAGCTTTCTTGGTCCAAAGACGTTGAGAAGGCTAGCACCCGTGTGCCCTCCGCGAGCCTTTCAGGCACTCCCGAGTCTCAGGCTGTTTTGACCACACCATCCAAGCCGGGGACGGAGGACGATTTTGACCCTTTCCCCCTTTCTAGGGGGGTTTTTACAAACAATATCTCACCTGAGTGGAGGGAGTTCGGTCCTTCCCCAATCAATCTCTACAACCGGTTTTCAGCCCTGGCGGAAGACGAAAATCCCAACGATGAATTCACCTCCCTCCTCCTCAAGGCCAAAGAACAGTCACTTGCTGCATTTGAGGAGGAATTGGTGGAACTGGTGGACAAAATGCCGATCCGCCAAGGGTCTCTTGAAGAATGGGCGGCCAACCATGCATTGCATCAACTGGCCACTCACAGAAACGAACCTAGTGTTTGTTTGGAGGCAATTGCAGATGCAAAAAGGCAGCCCAAAGACGAACCAGCAAAATTCGAAATCACAGTTGCCAATGTCACAAGATGGAGAGCTGAGATCAAAACGTGGCTCCTAGATAGGCGACCACAGGGGGTTTGTCTCCAGGAAACCCACCTCACAGCCAAGGAACAGCATCTTGCCATCCATCAGTTGGACCAGGCCGGGTACGTTGCCTGGACCCTACCGGCCCACCCAACTGAGGGGGGCAAAAACTCTGGAGGCGTCATGATTGCGGTTGAAAAAGATCGAAATTTCCGATTCCTGAGATCCTTTGGTGTTGAAGGTAAAGGGTATGTGGCTGTGGTAGGTAGAACCGGGAAGAGGGACATTGTTTTTATTTCCATCTACCTTGAAACCAGTGTAGGCCTCACTGGAGGACACAACCCCACCATTGTCGGTGATCTTATTGCCTTCATTAAAGGCCTCACCATTGAATGGTTTGTAGCGGGGGATTTCAACCTCCCACCACAAGACATACTCGAAACCTCGATTGAGTCCCTCCTGCGCGGGAAAGTGCTAGCTACTAACGAGCCCACCATCATGGGTGGCAATGAAATCGACTTTGCCATAGCTAGCCACACCGTCTCAAATGGGCTCGAAATCAAAACTGATTGGGACGTTCCCTTCAGGCCCCATTGCGCCATTCGGTACACACTCAATGTGGGGGTTTTCCGAGTCTGTACCCTACAAGCCAGGCCCTTCCGGAGACCTGTTGACGATGAACAGGCACCATTCCAAGGACATTTCACCTTGGTTTATCCCAGCCTCCTCCTAGAGTCGAGGGCGGATGACGCCATTACAGCTGGGTTTGCCGGTTTTACTCAGCGTGTTGAGGCGAGCCTCTATCCCTCAGACATCAGAGGCAGGGGTTGCCAGGTTGAAACCCATATTGGACCACTAGCCCCGCCCAAACCCACAGGTTTCGTCTGGGCTGGTGGGAAGTCCAAATTCTGGGGTAGACTTACGGTCTGGCACCGGCAAGGCCTCCGCATTGGTCTGAGTCCCAAGCTTCAGCAGGTGGTCCAATCCCACCTCTCCCAACTCCTTCTCAATTGGGAGGAATGCGATGCATTCAGGTGCCAGACAGCGGTTAACCTCGTCCAAGAGCACTTTGGAAAAGAAGGGCCCAAAGCCAAAGAGGTCAGACAAATCATCGAAACACAACGAAAACTTCACCTGAGGAAAGCACATCAGGAACAAGCCAAAAAGTACGAGGCCTGGCTCCAAGGTGATGGGAAAAACCATCTGCGCCACCTTTACCGGGCACTCAAGACTGAGGAAAACACCACTACTCGCCCATTTGCGGACCTTGCGGTGGAGGTTAAGCCTCACGCCAGAAGGGCATGGTGGGCTGACATGTGGGCCCCAAGTGGGTTGAGCGGCACTCATGGCACCGACCCTCGCTTGGCCCTGCAGAACCAAGCGAGGAAACAAGCAGCCAACCTCTCGCCCATTTCGGTGGAGGAATGGAATTCCCTCCTAAAAAAGGTCCCAAACAAAGCCCCAGGCCCAGATGGGTGGTGCTATGAAATGCTCCGAGCATTACCTCATGAAGCCATTCTTGAATTGGCTAGCATGGTGCGCCAATGGGAAATCGAAGCCCAGTTTCCCCAGCACTGTGATATCACACAGTATGCCATGCTCCCCAAAAATGAAACATCCGAACGGCCTATTGGGTTAACCCATGTCCTCCACAGGATATTTTGCAAGGCGAGATGGCATCTTATCACAGAGTGGGAGAACAGTTACAACCCTACCTCTCCCTGGAATCAGGCGAAGGCAGGGAACAGCTCCCTTGACACGGCCCTCCGCCGCCTAATCAGGGCTGAAACAAACAAAAGAGAGAAGCGTCACACCATTACACTTCTCCTTGATCTAACATCCTTCTATGAGACTGTCCCACATTGGCAGCTCCTAGCCCAGGGTGTCCGACACTCCTTTCCCCCGCTTCTACTTGAAAGAGCGTTAAGCCTTTACTCAGGCAGCCGATACATAGAAGCGCAGGGGAGTCTGTCTCGCCCCATCCGAGCTACAAGAGGTCTCATAGCAGGTTGCCCTCTCGCCCCTGCTCTTTCCAGAGTTGTGCTCCATGATCCGATCTCGAAGATGCACTCTGCCTCCCCTGTACACCACATCGATTTGTGGGTGGACGATTGCTCAGCAGATTTTGTCGATTCTCATGCGCCGACAGTCGCTGCTCAAGCCATCAAGTGTTACAGGGAGCTTAAAGCTGACCTCGAGAATCAGGGCCTGATGGTCAGCACCACCAAAACGGCTTTCATCTGCTCAAACAAGGCCTCTGCCAGAGAGCTGCAATCCTTGCTTGAAGAACATGAACCCCCCATCAAAACCTTAGGCAAGGACCTTGGTCTGGATTATGCTGCGGGGCAGAGGAGGCGAATCACAGTGGCCAAAGGCAGGCACGCTAAAGGAGGGCAGCGAGCCAGAAAATTGACCAAGCCGCAAGTCAAAAGCACTAGCATCAGAGTGAGACTCTTCAACGGTTCCATCCGGTCCTCTGCCTTGTATGGGCATGAAGGGGTTGGGGTAGCGCCTAAACGGCGCAAATGGTTCAGAAGTTTGCTGGCTGCAGCCTTGGGCAGACCCACGCTTGCCAGCACTGACTCAGCCCTTGAGTTCCACTCGAACAAAGTTGTAGATCCAGCCTACACCATCTTGTCGCAGCATTTCAAGGCGATACGGCGACTTCTTCTCAGCTGGCCCGACAGGGACATTGGCAGATTGCACCAGAGCTGGAACAAACTCGGGCAATGGCTGAGCGAAGCTGAACATCCCTGGAAAAGGGCGGCTGGGCCGCTTGGAGCCGCCTGGTGCTACCTTCAAGAGTTGGGGTGGGAGGCTATCAGCCTCAGTAAGTGGCGCGTTGAAGGTGACATTCTTGACATCCGTCAGGGACCTGACTTCCATAGACTTCTTTTCCAGCTAAAACATCTAATTGACACCAGGCGACACCGCCGCATTGCTCAATCAGATGGTGGCAAAGGATTAGAGACAGGACCGGACTGGACAGCCCCCAGAAGGCTCCTCAAACAAGCCAACAAGCAAGAAAAGGCGGCGCTCCAAGCGTTGTGGCAAGGCGCCGTCAAGGCGTCTCCAACAGCCACGTGTTCCCTGTGCAACCTTCCTGCCACCAAGAAGCATGTACTCTGGGAATGCAAATGGTGGAAAAAGCATGGTGAACAACCGCCTAGATGGTGGGAAGATTACCCGGAGCATCAATCCACTGATTGTCTGTGGAATTTTGGGCTCATGCCCAACCTTCCCAAGGAAATGCCCTCCGGAGATTCCATTTTGGAAGTCCAAGGAGTCCTACGCAATCCTGACCAAATCCCTGAAGGCGCTTTCGCGGCCACTGACGCCAGTGGTGGCCCCACCACTGACCATCGGCTTCAAACCGTGGTGTGGGGGTTGATAGTTTATGAATGGTGTGGGGACACGCCCAAGCGAATTGGGTCCATTGCTGGTCTCCTTGGTAATGAGCAGTCAGTGTACCGAGGGGAGGCTAAAGCCATCCAACAAGCGGCCCTTCTCCTTCCAGAAGGGACCGACGTCACCAGTGATTGCAAAGGGGCCGTTGCGCGTGCCAGGAGGGGCCCCGCGGGGGGAGGAGCACACCAAGACATTTTTGGTACTGCGCCCACCCATGAGCTTCGCCTTACATGGGTCCCATCCCATTTGGGATGTGAGGAATTTAAGGCAAAAATGGGGGAAGGCCAAGAATGGCGGCGCAACATCAATGCTGAGGTTGATGCATTGGTGTCCAGACATGCCAAAGCCCTCTACAGCACTGAGCGTGCAGAAAGGCTGCAGCAACATGACAAACTGGCTACCGATGTGGCCAGCTTTTTAGGACGCCGGCTCCTCTCCTTGCTTGAGGGAGGCAAGAAGGATGGCCCGCAAGTTGTTTTCCCTAAGGATCAACCCCAGGAAGAACCGGCCCACCCTCCCTCCAGTAGCTCCTCCTCAAACCAATCCACCTTCTCCAAAAACCGGTGGAAGAAACGCCGGAAAATTCCGAGGGGCAACCAAGCCACCACAGGCCTGGATTCCCCCACCGTGAATCCGGCGGATGGCATTCCAGGGGGTGACGCTACCACAGCACGACCTGAAGAAACAGGGAGCCTTAACAAAAAACAAATTTTGACAGGCTTGGTGCAAGGCACCCTGGACGTTAAAGGTCACACCTTTGTCATCACCCGGAACACCGTTAACAATTTGCAAATCAAATGTGAAAATTGCGGTTTGTGGATTCAACAAGTTGACACCAAAGACACATTCAACCGAAAGACCCATAACCACTGCAAGGGTCATCCGGACAGCGTTCCCTCCCCAACATGGACGTGGCATGCATCCCACGTTATGGTGAATGAAGGGAACCGATGGGTGTGCACAAAATGCAGTAGCACTCAAAGTGTTGGGGGGTTAACCCATGGCCCCCTTGAAAGACCCTGCCAACACGCCCCGAATAAGAGGCCCCCAACGAATGCCCTCAAACTCAATAAAGCAGCTCAGGGTACGCCGTCGGTCGCCACCTTCTTTGGGGGCCCAAGAAATGGATAGTAATTTTCAGGTCTGAACAATGTGAAATCTGCATTTTGTAGTGTCTTTTGTTAAACTACCCTTCAGTACCTTTGCACCTGCCTGATTTCCACTTGCCTGCCCTCACCTCCCGTATGGAATAAGATCCCCACACTGCAGCCGCTGGTCTCAAACACAGGTAGCAGCCGTAGGGCAGTTTAGCTACCTTAGAACCTGTAGATATGGGATGGGGCCAGGGCAAAGGAAAGGGGGCGCAGCCTCCTCAAGGCAAAGGCAAAGGTAAAGGGGGGGGGAGCCAACCTCCCGGAGCAGGCAAAGGGGGCCATCCTCCTGGAGGTAAAGGCGAGATCCCCTTCAAGCGGCCTTCCAAGAAGGACAGAGATCGCCTTAAGCAGCTGGGTTTGTGGCCACCTCCCAAGGGGCAAGGCAAGAATGCCCGAACAGGCCCACACCCGGCAGAGGAAAGGGGTCACGCCAGACCACCTACACCTCCCCCCGTCAGACGGGGGGCTCCAGCAGAAAGAAGTCCCTCAACGAGCCGCAGCCGCACACCGCGCCAAGAGGAGACTGATGCAGAAGCACCAGCTGCGGAGTCCCCCTCGCAATCGTCGAACTCAACAGAGCTTCGACGAGCCTCACCCGACCAACCGCGGCACCAACCTGAGCCGAGCCCAACCCCACCTGCCGAGGGGGGAGAGGCAAACACTGACCCCATGCCAGTCAAGCAGGAATCCACCGAGGAGTTTAGCTCCGAAGAGTCGTCTGGAGAGGCGGCACCTCTTCCACCTTGGCCTCTCTTGGCAGACAGCCTCCACCTCACGGTTGACCGGGTTCGCCGTAGCAACAACCGTGACTTCTGGCTGTCTAACCTCGGCCCAACCTTGTGGTTGGATTGCTTCCCAACCTTCAAGGGTTCCAGCCTCCTGGGCATAGGGGGAACGCGAGCAGTGTACACCTCACCTACCTCAGAAGGCAAGGTGTGGAAGGTTGCTCTCAAAGCAGATCCCAGCCACCATGGGATTGAGCAAACCATTGGGCAACGGCTCCCAGGTTTATGTGCCACGCAAACCAGGATGGTGGGGACGGGGCAGCTCACCATCCGTGACTTTAAGACCCTGGAGATTGAGGTCTTGGAGGTTGAGCGTCTCTTACGCTGTTGCCTGACCAGCCCTCCAACCTCCAGGTCTTGCACATGTTCATGGTCCTCACAGCCCTTGTGGGTGCTGGCATTTGGGTCAGGGACCTGAACAGAAAGAATTGGGGGGTGCGTCCCCCCAATCCACACGGGCCCGATCAAGGGCCCGCGGAAATCGTGGCCCTTGATTGTGGGGGTTGGGCATTCCAAGATGCCCCGCTTGGGTTTCCCCAACGCGTTCGCATTGCCTCATGGTGGGGGTGGATCGAAGCCACCACCCCCGAGGTAGCGGCGTGGGCCCGCGGCGTCGTCCGCACGGACCATTCGAGCCCACGGCGACTCGCCATCGCCTTCAGGCAGCGCCTCCTTGCCACAGATGGGGGGAAGGAGGTTCTTGGGACTTTGGTCCGTCAAGGGGTCATCATCCCTAGTCCCTCGCTGAACCTGTGCCTCCCGATGACGGTCAATGGAGTCAACAGTGGCGGGGACTGGTGCTTCGCCTCAATTGAAGACCTTGAGGCGTAAGCCCGCCGGGAAGGGGGGCAAAACCCACCTGTGCACACCACATGCGGGGGCCCACGCAGCACCCACCGCTACACCTACCCACCCGAAAAGGGGGGAGCAGGGCACCTCTTGCAGGGCCTGTACCTGTACAGTCCTGTGTAGTCCAGCTTACCTCCAAAGAGAGGAGTAGGGTAGCGGTAGCTTTCTTTAGGCCCTCGTCCACTCTGCAGTGGTGTTCGCACAACTTCCCGGCAGGGATGCCCCAAGCCAACCCGGAATGGCCTCTGCCTGTTTTCACTCACCCACCTTGGGGAGTATGGGCCTACACGTCAACCACCACCACACTTACCCACCCTTTAGGGGGGAACAAGCAGGGCACCTCTTGAAGGGCTTGTAGGGCAACGGCCCAAAGAGGTCTTGAGCAAACCCTCCAAAGTGAGGAGTAAGTGTGGTAGAAGTTTTAGGCTCCTCCACCAAAGGTGGAAAACCCAAGGACGGTTTTAGGAATTGCCGCTTCGGCGGCCGCGCCTCGCGCTCCGAGAAGAAAATATGACATGGCTCAAGGTTTCGGCTCAACCCCGGTGGGGTGCACACAGTAGCTGAGCGAGTAGCTGTGAACCTGGGTTTCGGGCCTCAACTGTGTTAAGGTACTGGACCCCCTTGTTTTTGGCCTATTCGCCCGAGCCATATCGTGTCAGAGCTTTTACCCGGCCGTGGGGCTGTGGTTCTGCGTTGCACCCTTCCTTGAGCTACTGGGCAAACCCCTCCAGCTGGGAGGTGGGCACCACATCCCCTCCAGGTGGGAGGTGGGCATCACTTCCCCTCCAGCTAGGAGGCGTAGTGCTCAGGCCTTCAGTGCTATCGTGGCCGCCAGCCTTAATTTGCCATTGTGGTGCCTTGATTTCTTGATTTTACTTGGCTTAAGTCTATCGTGCGGAAGCAGCTCTCCTGAAGGCGAACGGGCTGAGTTGTGACTAGCCGCGCCGATCAGATTAGTCATACTACAGTTGCCGCTTCACAGCATTTTTGCAGGAAGGTTCGTCCTGGACGCTGTTGTGCCACTTCTATCCAGACCCCACCTGTCCTCGGCTCTAGGCTGAGGTGTAACTGCCCCCGCCCTTGAGGCTGTGGTTTGCACATCAGAAGTGGCCTTCTCAGGGCCTAGCTGGCAATTTGAGGTATCGGCCGAAATCTGGCACAGCACTCCTCCCAGGCAGGCCTACCCATGTGTGGTGTCGTGAGGTCGGCCCAGCCTGGGCTCTCATGGTCTTCGCTTCAGTGATTGGGGGTTCCTTGCGAGGCTTGTTGGCCCTGGTCCCATCCAATAGTCTCTGAAGGGACCATGGGGGTTGTGATGCATCCTAAACCCAGGCCTCGCCAATTGTGTTGAGGCTGGCTTTTCCCCCAACCATGCAGATGCACCCAAGCAAGTGCCAACAGTGTGTCCGGCACATAGGGAGCTGTGTGGTTCCTTGCTCGCCATTGGATTTTCGCCTTAATTAGATGGTTGCGGCGCGTTTCGTTCTCGGCCAGTTGCCCATGTGCGGAGGACGTTAAGCTTTTTGGTTAGGATGCGTTTGGTAATGGCCTCACTTTGAGATGAGGCAGTGGCTTTAGGCCCTCTGTAGGGTTGTCTGGGGCTTCCCTGCAGGCCTATGCGCCGGCGGCAGAGAGTAGTCCTTTTCTCAGACCTTGTGACTGCTCCTGCCGCTGGTGCCCTGGGTTTAGGGCTGGTTTTAGGGTAGGTACTTGGCAGTGCTGTCTGCTTGCTGACGGTGGATGCAGCCGGCTGAGTCACTTTCCCTCCTTGCCTGGACTGCCTGCCTTCGCCCTACCACCAGGTATGGGATAAGCGCACCATGGGGCTTTCCAGGCAGCTCAGGACCTGTATCTCGTCTCCTCACTGGGCATTAATTGCAGGCTCGCGAGGTGCAGGCCAATAGTCACTCCTTCTTCTTCGCTGTGCGAGATTGCAAGGGTGATGAGCTTTTTTTGGCTTGTTGTCCGGATTCTGTCCTTTTTGTTCCGGTGTTTTCTCTTTTGGGGTTTAGGGTGTAGCGCAGAGGCAAAAAATGCAACATGCTGTTGCTGGCATAGGCTTTTGCCGAGGTTTTCTGCCCTGAATCCCTTTTTAGCACTTTTCGAAAAAGTTGGCCTGCTGGCACCAAAGATCATACGGGTCGGCGTGCCGTGGGGCCCAGAGTCCTGATTTGGCCCTTCCCTTGAAACAGTCTGGGGTTTTACAGGGGCAGTCGGTTCCCTTCCCTTGCTTGCAGCAGCCAGGGAAGGTCCCTTTACTGTGTGGGTCCATTTGGTTCGTTTTGGCCCTTTCCCAGTGAGCAGTCAGCAGGTCCCTGGGAGCAGTCTTCGGGGTTTCGAAATCTTTCTTGCAGAAAGTCTAGCAGGGCGTTGTTCCCTGCGCCTGCACGTAGTTAGTTGAAGGGAAAGCGTCGCTCCCTGCGCCTGGTTGAGGGGAGTGCGTGGGCCCCGCGCTAAAGATACCAAATTGAGGGGCTGCTGCTTTGTGTAAGGTGAGGTAGAGGACCCCCTTGGGCTGTTTGGGCGTGAGGCTAGGAAGTTCGTTGGCTGTGTTCAACCAGGCCTAAAGGCTGTGGAATCAGTGCATGACAGTCGCTTGTGCTCCTGTGCGGGTGCTGTTATGCCATGGATTCCCAGCCTCGGGGCTGCGGTTTCGAGAATTCCTTCCTCTGATGTGATGGACACAGACTCGCTGCTGGGAGCAGGTCTTTTGCTTGGGCTATGGTCAGTACGATGAGAGGAGTAGGAAAAGCGAAGTGCTTTGTACAGCTGGCGACTCGGACGAGTGAAAGCCACAGTCCTCCATCTGACCTGTTCTACTAGCGGTCAGAGCCTCTAAACTGTGTCATAGGCGCCTGTAGGTAGTATGTGGGTGCACCACATTCCCAGCCTTGAGCTGAGGTTTTGCCGTAGCAGGTTGGCCGACCAGCCCGAGAGACTATGTCTCGCCCCTTAGGGGCTCCGGGTGAATTCATTTGCATGATGTACGCCCACTGGGTAACGCTTCGCGCTTGCTGAAGAAAATATGACATGGCTCAAGTTTCTGCTCAAACCCCGGTGGGGTGCACAAGTAGCTGAGCGAGTAGCTGTGAACCGGGTTCTGGGCCTCAACTGGGTTAAGGTACCAGGCCCCCTTTGTTTTCGGCCTTTTCGCTTGAGCCATACTGTGCCAGAGCACTCACCCGGCCTCTGGGCTGTGGCTGCATATCACTCACCCAGCCTTAGGGCTGTGGCTGCATTGCACTCACCCAGCCTCAGGGCTCGGGCCTGTTTTCTCCCGGCCTTAGGGCTGTGGTCCTCCAAACCCACGGCGGGCAGAGAGCGATCCCGCACGCCTGAGGTGCAGCGCTTTGGGGTAGCCGAGAGGGTGCCCTTGGAGGACTCGATCAGGTCCTATCTGCAAGCCGAGTTTGAGGAACAGCCCAGTGCCCGGGACCTCACACCGGGGCAGAGGGTAACAAACCAACTCCGTGCTTTGGCTCGCTGGTCCAAGACCCGGAACGATTGGATTGCCGACGCCGGGAAACTTTTGTCGGAGGCTCGCCGGCAGAGGTGGTGTGCCGAACTCAACAAGTCCAACATCTGAGCCCAGCCTTTAGGGCTCGGGGCCTCTTCGCAGTCACCATGGCTGGTGGACGTTATCACGTTTGCAAGAAGTGTGGCCCGGCCAGCTGGATCTTCGCGGCAAAGGTGCCCAAGTTCCCCAAGTGTCAGTGGTGCGGAACAAAGTGGCCAACGGATGTGCCCAACCCCAAGATCTGGTCCAAGCCGGAGCCGAAACCCGACCTCGCAAGCCCAAGACCAACAAGGTTCATGACTGCTTGCGGAAGGTATGGGATACTCTTCCTGACGAGGCCTGTGTGCAGCTGAGAGAAGCAGGGTTTGAAGCCAAGCCGGCTCGCACAGAGGATGTGGATCTTGTTGCGCTCCTGCAGCAGCATGTCGGAGACCTTCCCCAGGTCATCGTGGACGCCCTGCCGGCGACCCCAACCCCGGACCCTCGCCAGGAGGGCAAGGAGGCTGGGGATGTTCTTCGCAGCTCGGTGGGCAAGCTCCGTGATCTGGGCCAGAGGAAACTGAGGCTGCAGGAGGAGATCGACACAGCAAAGGACAATTTGCGAGCAATGCTTCACAAGATGCAGGACATCCAGAATGCCATCGAGGAGGCAAAGGTGGAAGTCGCAAAGACCACCAAGGAATATGAAGACAAGGTGGTCAAGCATTGTGCGGAAGAGGTCAACAATGGAGTGGAATCTGTTCTGCAGGCTTTGGGCATGCAAGAGGCCAGCCTTACCGAGGAGCAAAAGAGGAAGCTGGAAGCTCTTAAGTCCGATGAAGCCAAGCGCAGACGCATGCAGGTCGATCCAGGCCTTCCCCCGGGTCTGCCACCCTCGCAGGCTTCGACAATGCCTGACCTCGCAGCACGAGGCCGAAGTCGAACCCCGCCAGGGGGACCAGCGGGGGGCCAGGCCCCGGGTCAGGCATCGCAGACGGGTTAGGGAGCTGGGTTCGGGGCTTGTAGGGCGTTGGGGGTTTTGGATTCCAGGGATAACCTGTTTCCCCCGCACTTGTCCGAGTCGTCCCTCTCCCCGACAACCCGTGTTTTTCCCCTTGGCCAAAATTTTGTCACCTTGCCCGAGACGTTTTGCCAATCCCCTTCCCAAGCAGATGTCTTCAGCCTTAGCTGTTGTGAGGTCTGCAGGTGTCAGGCCGGGGAGGACCCGTGCCACACCCTTTTCCAGGTAGGGGATGGTCTCGCGCTTGCAGTTTTGTGTCGGCTGTGCCGAGGATGGGCTTCCCATGAATGTGCCGTGGTGCCTGAGTGTCAGAGTTGCCTGGTGGAGCTTCCAAGATACACCCGGTCATCTAGACACGCGGTTCTGTGTGGCATGTGTCAGGGTCTGCCCCTCCAGAAGGAGTGGGATTCAGGCTTGGGGCAGGTTTCGCTTGGAGCGGAATGTGTACCAGCCAAAGATCCCTCACCAGTCCCAATTTCTTTAGCAGCGCTATGCCAATATGAGGTGGTCCACCATCCCTTGGTGACGGGACCGAGGTATTTTCCTCTGGAGGCTTTGTGCGACATGCAGTTGTATGAAACCCCCAGCACTTTTACTCCCCTCGTCTCGGGAGGTGGATCTCGACCCACAGGTACCCAGTCGTCTTGTCGCAGCAGAAGAACCCGACGACGTCGCAACAGGACGGCCCGGCCTCTCAAGGCTAGGGAGCCTTTGGATTCAGCTATCGTAGCCTGGAACACGACAACTCAGCATGAAAAGACGGACAAGTGGGGCCAGTTAGCGGGTTTGGTGTCCCGGGGCTTTCAGCAGGGCTTTCTGTCGGTGGAGTCTAGCATGGTAGGCCTTTTCGAAGATGACGAACCCACCGACCCCTTGACTTTGGAGTATTTGGTGGTCCACAAAATGTTTCAGGCCCTTGCTTCCCCCAACCCGAGCCCAAGTGACTGGGTTTTTGTCCTTCGAGGTTCGGAGGATCTTTCTGCCAACTCTTACGAAGTTAAGCCTAGGAATCTCAAGGTCTGTTCGGCCAATGTCACCCGATGGCGGTCGAGTCGCCGGAAATGGGCCCATACCTTGTCCCCGGACATTCTTATGCTGCAAGAACTTCACCTCACCAAAGAGGACCTTAAGACTGAGACCCGTCATTTGATGAATTTGGGGTTTGTGCTCTTTGGTGTTGCTAGTCCGAAAAGTGCAAAAGGCAACCCCCTAGGAGGAGTAGGGATTGCAGTCAAAAATCACTTGGGGCCCAGGATTCTAGTGACCTTCCACGCCTCGCAAGGCTGCGGTTATGTCATTGTGGCGTTGCGCTCCAAAGGGGTAGATTTCAATTGGATCTCCTTGTACCTAGAAAGTGGGACTGGCTTGGATAGCCCAGTCAATGATCTCATCCTGTCCAGTCTTACCCAACATTTGTCCCTCCTTCAAGGTATGTGGGTGGTTGGTGGGGATTTTAACGTTCCGATTCAGGACTTCCTTAACTCCAGGTATGAAGAAAGGTGGCAGGGCCCGGGTGGTTGGCAGTGGGTCTCCTACGGCGGGAGGGGACTCCGAGATTGACTTCTTCGTCGTCCACCCCAGTCTCCAGTCCCTGTCGACGGTCCGGCTCAGTCGGAGGCCCAGGCCACCACAGGAAAGGGCTGGTGGGTCGACCTTCCCCGCAGGCCGTTGGCCTCGCACCCAGTTGGCGGCGGTGCCTGGACAGGAGGGCCTATGGCTATCTGGGATAGATGGCGCACCTGGCTTCAGACAGGGATGGTCCCCAAATCCTCAGAGGCCTTCGCCTCCATCCCTCCGGACGACCCCCTTCTTCCCGTCCTAAAGGGCTGGGTTCATGCTGATGACCGCAGCAGCCTCACTCGGGAGTTGGTGCCCCAGGTTGAGGCAAAATATAAGGAAGCTTTAGCCTCCCAGACCTCCCAGAACTCCGAGTCTTACTCCAAGTGGCTAGAAGAGGCGCAAAATGATCACCTCCGCCCCCTTTACCGCTCCCTTCGAGCTGATGAGCAAACCTTGGAACGGCCGTATCGGGAGTTCACTCCCCTGGCGCGGCCCTATAAACGGCTCGAATTTTGGTGCGAGGTCTGGCAGGGTAACCTGGTGTCGCCAGCTCCGCTCCAAGGGGAAGTATGGGATGCCTTGTTTGACTTAGCCCGGGAGCAGGTCCGTTCCCTGCCCAAGCATTCTGCTAGCTCTGTCGCTAAGATATGCGCCGCCAGGAATCCCAAAAAAGGAGGCCCGGACGGCTGGGATTTCAATGATCTTCGAGACCTGCCTCGGGACGCGTGTGCAGTCCTAGCCAACGTCTTCAACAAAATGGAGGAGGACCTTGCCATTCCCCTCCAAGTTTCCCAGGTCCAGATTGTACTTCTGGCCAAGAGTGCCTTGAAGGAAAGACCTATCGGTCTTACATCGGTCTTGTGGCGGCTTTGGTGTAAGACTGGTCAGCCAGTGGCTGGACTCTTACATCCCGGATCATCCTTTTGACTCGGCGATTCCAGGCCGAACCTCGTTGGACGTTGCCCTGGCCAGGAAATGCTCCAAAGAGTCTGCCAGAGTCAAGGGTTTGCACACTGTCTCGTTGTTTGTTGACATTAATGGGTTTTACGATAGCGTCTCTTGGCAGAGGCTTTGCGAACAAGGCTTGCGGTTGTCTTTCCCAGCCTTGGCCCTGTGCCTCTCCCTTCGCCTCTACCAAGGAGGTCGCACGGTGGTGGGGGAATCCCAGCCCAGTCCCACCATCTTCCCAGGCCGGGGCATGATCCAGGGATGCCCGTACGCTCCCACCTTGGCCAAGCTCACCATGTCTGAACCCTTACATAGACTGAAACGAGTCACAGGCTTGCATCATTGCGACGTATGGTTGGACGATGTCTCTGCAGACTCCCTCCATGCCTCGCCGGATATAGCCGCGGGAGCGGCTTATGAAGCCTTTCGAGTGCTCAAGGCCAGTCTTCAGGCTGAAGGTCTCGTCCTCAGCCAAGAGAAAACAAAATTTGTGGCCGGAACACCCCGCTCGGCCGCGGCGCTGCGACAGCTGCTGCGGCCAGGGGACCCTGACATAGTCGACGTGGTCAAGGATTTAGGCCTTGACAGTGGCAGTGGCCGTCGGCGCAGGACTACTACTGCCCAGAAACGCTTCCGGGTAGGTAGCCTTCGTAACCTGAAGTTGGGTAAGCTTCGTATCCCGTCACGCCGCGTCCGGCTACGGTTGCACCGTTCTAGTGTGGTCACCTCGGGTCTTTATGGCCATGAAGCACAAGGGGTTGCCCCTAAACATATGAAGACCATGCGCGCAGCGGTAGCCCGACACGCAGGCAGGAGCCGATACGGTTCAACGGATACCATCCTAGATATGACGGCCCACGAGGTTCAGGATCCCTACCTTATTGTGGTAACCCAGCACGTGGAAAGTCTTTTCAGGATGATGGCCAGATGTAACCGCATGGGATGGGAGGCAGTAAAGGACACTTGGCGAGTGGTCTGGAAGCGGCTGGAGGCTGCGAAGCACGGTTGGTCCGTGGTCACTGGACCCATCTCTGCCATGTGTCAATACCTCCGCGACCTCCAGGTCGACGGCCATGATCCTTCCCGCTGGGTTTTTGAGGAGCGTGTTCTCGAGATCAAGCCCTCTGAGGTTTCGGTTGTCTGCCAAACCTCGTCTTTCCTCATGGACATCATCAAGACCCAGAGGTCTCGTCGCATTGGATCGACCTCGTCGGCAGCGGGTGCTGCTGGCGGGGTCGACTGGACGGTCCCGCGTCGCCTGCTCAAGTCAGTGCGCGCCAAAACAACCCGGTACGCCTACCGGGCTGTTTTCCAAGGGTCCATTCTCCATAACGGCAATGGTGGCAAGGATGTCTGTAAGTTTTGTGGCGATCCCGGGGCCACCTTGCGTCACCTCATGTATGAATGCCCTTCCTTCCCTGGTGGCATGCGGTTACCGGGGTACGTTCTGGCGGAGAAGCGCCGTTTCCCTGATGACTGCCTGTGGCTTCGGGGTATGCTCCCCCTTAAATACCTCCCAGTCGCTCCCTCGGGGGACCTAGAAGTGGTCAAGACAGGCGTGTTTCTCACGTCCTCCCAGGTAGTAGCAGACGGGTTGGTGGTTGCTACGGACGCGTCAGGGGGCAAGTTCACCAAGGATCCGCGATTGCGAAGAGTGAGCTGGTCTGTTGTCGTGGGGCGGGTTCAAGATGGTCTGTTTCAGGAGTTAGGGACCATGTCCGGCCTCACCCCCCCCGGAACAAGCGTCGCGCACGGTGAATCTTATGCCATTGTGCAGACGATTAAACACACCCTTGGTCAGGTTGACCTCACGGGGGACTGTAAACCAGCCCTTAAGACCCTCACCAAGAAATCCTTTCAAAAAACAACCCCGGCTTTTTGGGGCCCGGTCTGGGAGGACCGTGGTAGGATAAGGCCCACTTGGGTAAAATCCCACCTAACTAGCCGTGAGTTCGAAATTAGGTTTGGCTTTTCCCAGCTTTGGAGACACCACACCAACCAGTGCGCCGACGAGTTGGCAGGCAAACGGGCTGCCACCATACCGCCTGTTGCAGGGCGGAAAGTCCAGGACCTGGATAGGCTCGTAACCAGGATCTGCGATTACCTGGCGTCGCGAGCTGTGGTTGTTTTGAAACATGCCTCAAAAGATGATTTTGTCCCCCGTAGCCAAAGGCAGGAACCCCAACCACCCAAAGGGCCTAACAAACGCCAGCTTTTGTTGGCGAAAGTGGATGTCCCGGAAGCAGTAGGTGGCCATGTCTGGCAAGTAGGGGGGTTAAAAACAAATAATCTGGCAATCACTTGTGTGAAGTGTAAGCTTTACCTCCAGCAGGTTCATGAGATGGATAGGCTAGAACGTTTGCTAGCGCAGCCGTGCATTGACATGCCCCACAATGGCCCCCAGTTTTGGCCTACCCTCCACCCGACGCACCGGCTCAAAAATGAGGGACGTAGATGGCTGTGCTCCGGGTGCCATCTTACCCTCCTTCCAGGCCACTCTCAGCCTTGCTTAGGTCTCCAGAAACCCTGTAAAAAACTCCACAACAACCAAACCTTGTCCTTTCATGCCCAGGCCTCGGTTTCCACGCCTCCTGGGCGGCCGGACTCACCAGGTTCTTCTTCCACTCTAAAGGAAGCGGCTTCCCTTCCTACGGCTGCAGAGTCGCACGTGTCTAAGGGATCTGGCAAAACAAAGGAAGTGGTTTCCCTTCCTGAATCAAGTGCACGTGAAGCCGGGCTGGCAAGGGAGCCTGCCCCGAAGCCGGCCAGCCGTGCCAAAAAGAAGAAAGAGCTTCCCACTGGTCAGCAGACCCTTTGCTTCAAGAAGCAGTAATGGGGGGCTCACAGGGCAGGGGTCGCGGTCCCTTCTGGCGCGAGCAGCGCCAACGAATGGCAGAGGGGAAGTCGTGGCGCTCTACGGCGACCCTCCAGCATTCCAAGAGACGACCTCCACCCCACATCCGCAGGCAACAGCGCATAGACCAGGGCCTTCCTGTAGGAGACGACCAGCAGGAAGGGGCACCCCTCCCTGAGGAGGCGGCACCTGGGGGTTCCAGCTCGTCGGGCCAACCGACGGCGAAGGCTTGGCCGCCCCCCCCCCCCTCCGGCTCCTCGGCGTGACCGTCGGCGCTCTCCTTCTCCTCGCTTGGTCTTGCGCTGAGTGGACAGAAGCCTTACCCCTCCCACCCCTCCGCAAAGGAGGCGGCCTCAGGTAGCAGGGTCCGGTGTGGATTTGCGTTCGGTTCCGCGTGATCCCGTTCCCCTCCACCTAGGAGGCGGTCAGAAAGGGCTACGTCCAGCCGTGACCTTCCCGACCAGCATGCACGGCCTAGATCCCCCTCGGAGTCCAGGGCCCGGCCCCCTGCAGACCCAGCCCCTGAGGCTGAGGAGTCCCCCTGGGGCCGGCGGCAACGCACGCGTAGAGAAGCTCAGGACTTTACCCCTGGTGTGCACGCGGCTGGTGAAGCAGCAAGCTACATCAAGCGGCCCACCTCGCCTCGGCATTTCCTCCCTCCAGAGCTCACACTTACGTGGGATCCGATTCGCCAGGTCGTGGTGGAAGCCCGAGTTCTCACGCGCCTGGGCTGGGGACAAAGCCGTGTAGGCTACCAGCTGTCTCAGGCGTTGGTCTTGAAGCTCACGGATGATGCATCCTTAAATGGTCCGGAGATCGATATGGCGCGGCGTTTTCCCCGGCTCATGGCTCCCATCCTCACCAGTGGCTCCATAGGGGTCCACCTCAAGCGTGTTTTGACCAGATATGCAACACCCTTGGACCTTTGGGGGAAGAAGTTCGCTGGCTATGCACCACCCCGGCCTAGGAGGCTGTGGAAACTGGGCTGCTTCTCTGGGGGCATCCTTTCCCAGCCTTAGGGCTGCGGTCGCAAACTCTTCCTGATGAGTAGCTGTAACATAGTTCCCTGTAGATGGCCGTGGGTGCACACATTCCCAGCTTGTAAGCTGTGGTTTTGCCGTAGCAGGGTGACCGACTGCCCGAGAGACTGTGTCTCGCCCCAAAGGGGCTCCGGGCGAATTCGTTTTTGCATGCAGGACACCCACTGGGTAACGCTCTCGCGCTTGCTGAAGAAAATATGACATGGCTCAAGGTCTCGGCTCAAACCCCGGTGGGGTGCACACAGTAGCTGAGCGAGTAGCTGTGAACCTGGGTTTCGGGCCTCAACTGAGTTAAGGTACTGGACCCCCTTGTTTTTGGCCTATTCGCCCGAGCCATATCGTGTCAGAGCTTTTACCCGGCCGTGGGGCTGTGGTTCTGCATTGCACCCTTCCTTGAGCTACTGGGCAAACCCCTCCAGCTGGGAGGTGGGGAGGTGGGCATCACTTCCCCTCCAGCTAGGAGGCGTAGTGCTCAGGCCTCAGTGCTGTCGTGGCCGCCAGCCTTAGTTTGCCATAGTGGTGCCCTGCCCTGTTTTCTTGATTTTACTTGTCTTGACGATTTGCTTAAATTGCTGTGCAACTTTCACCTAGTTTTGGCTGGTCTATCGTGCGGAAGCAGCTCTCCTGAAGGCGAACGGGCTGAGTTGTGACTAACCGCGCCGATCAGATTGGTCATACAACAGTTGCCGCTTCAAAGCACCTTTGCAGGAAGGTTTGTCCTGTACTCTGTTGTGCCACTTCTATGCAGACCCCATCTGTCCCCGCCTCTAGGCTGTGGTGTAACTACCCCGCCCTTGAGGCTGTGGTTTGCACATCAGAAGTGGCCTTCTCAGGGCCTAGCTGGCAGTTTGAGGTACCGGCCGGAATCTGGCAAGCACTCCTCACAGGCTGGCCTACCCTCGTGTGGTGTCGTGAGGTCGGCCAGCCTGGGCTCTCATGGTCTTCGCTTCAGTGATTTGGGGTTCCTTGTGAGGCTTGTTGGCCCTGGTCCCAACCATTAGTCTCTGCAGGGACCATGGGGGTTGGTGCATCCTAAACCCGGGCCTCGCAAATTGTGTTGAGGCTGGCTTTTTTCCCCTAACCATGCAGATGCCCCCAAGCAAGTGCCAGCAGTGTGTCTGGCACAGAGGGAGCTTGTGGTTCCTTGCTCGCCATTGGATTTTCGCCTTAATTAGATGGTTGCAGCGCGTTTCGTTCTCGGCCAGTTGCCCATGTGCGGAGGACGTTAAGCCTTTCGGTTAGGATGCGTTTGGTAATGGCCTCGTGTTGAGCTGAGGCAAAAGTTTTTGGCCCTCTGCAGGGTTGTCTGGGGCTTTCCTGCAGGCCTATGCGCCGGCGGCAGAGAGTAGTCCTTTCCTCAGACCTTGTGACTGCTCCTGCCGCTGGTGCCCTGGGTTTAGGGCTGGTTTTAGGGTAGGTACTTGGCAGTGCTGTCTGCTCGCTGACGGTGGATGCAGCCGGCTGAGTCACTTTCCCTCCTTGCCTGGACTGCCTGCCTTCGCCCTACCACCAGGTATGGGATCAGCGCACCATGGGGCTCTCCAGGCAGGCTCAGGACCTGTATCTCGTCTCCTCACTGGGCATATAATTGAAAGCTCGCGAGGTGCAGGCCATTGTCACTCCTTCTTCTTCGCTGTGCGAGACTACAAGGGTGATGAGCCTTTTGGCATGTTGTCCGGATTCTGTCCCTTTTGTTCCGGTGTTTTCTCTTTTGGGGTTTAGGGTGTAGCGCAGAGGCCAAAAATGCAACATGCTGTTGCTGGCATAGGCTTTTGCCGAGGTTTTCTGCCTTGAATCCCTTTTTAGCACTTTTCGAAAAAGTTGGCCTGCTGGCACCAAAGATCATACGGGTCGGCGTGCCGTGGGGCCCAGAGTCCTGATTTGGCCCTTCCCTTGAAACAGTCTGGGGTTTTACAGGAGCAGTGGGTTCCCTTCCCTTGCTTGCAGCAGCCTGGGACTTTCCCAGTGAGCAGTCAGCAGGTCCCTGGGAGCAGTCTTCGGGGTTTCGAAATCTTTTCTTGCAGAAAGTTTAGCAGGGCGTTGTTCCCTGCGCCTGCACGTAGTTAGTTGAAGGGAAAGCGTCGCTCCCTGCGCCTGGTTGAGGGGAGTGCGTGGGCCCCGCGCTAAAGGTACCAAATTGAGGGGCTGCTGCTTTGTGTAAGGTGAGGTGGAGGACCCCCTTTGGCTGTTTGGGCGTGAGGCTAGGAGTTCGTTGGCTGTGTCAACCCAGGCCTAAAGGCTGTGGCATCAGTGCATGACAGTCGCTTGTGCTCCTGTGCGGGTGCTGTTATGCCATGGATTCCCAGCCTCGGGGCTGCGGTTTCGAGAATTCCTTCCTCTGATGAGATGGACACAGACTAGCTGCTGGGAGCAGGTCTTTTGCTTGGGCTATGGTCAGTACGATGAGAGGAGTAGGAAAAGCGAAGTGCTTTGTACAGCTGGCGACTCGGACGAGTGAAAGCCACAGTCCTCCATCTGACCTGTTCTACTAGCGGTCAGAGCCTCTTAACTGTGTCATAGGCGCCTGTAGGTAGTAGTGGGTGCACCACACTCCCAGCCTTGAGCTGTGGTTTGCCGTAGCAGGTTGGCCGACCAGCCCGAGAGACTATGTCTCGCCCCTTAGGGGCTCCGGGTGAATTCATTTGCATGATGGACGCCCACTGGGTAACGCTTTCGCGCTTGCTGAAGAAAATATGACATTTCTTTGTTTGCCTAGTTGCTTGCAGGTACATGTGTAGGACATGAGTGCTGTGACATGGCAAGAACATGTTTTGTTTTGGCATGAGCATGTTTGCATGACATGAAGGTGTTTTGACTTGACATGTTTTGGTTTGCAAGTCCGATGATGAGTTTTGAGAAGCACAGAGAGGCTTTTAGCTCTCGGGAGTTGACCTGAGAGTCATCTGGAAGTGCTGAAGCAAAGCTCTGAGGAACAGACTTTGGCCGTTACTCACTCCGTGTGCTTTGCCCCGTCGTTCGTACCGTGTCGTGACCGTTTGACACTCGACTGAGGCATTCTGAGAGCATGCTGTATGTTTTGCAACAGACCTGAAGTCCTGAACCAGTAACCAAGATGTTTTGCATGTTACTTTTGTCTTCTCCTTTGTCTAAACAAAGTTGAGATGTCGTTTGAAGACTTGAAGCCTTTGCTCTTGGAGAGAGCACCTTTGCTGACCAAAGACAGTGCAGCTGA